TCATGGAAAGCTGTTCGCCGGATCTTCCGAGTAACGCATCAAGGGGCGTCCTGGGTTCTCTACCATATATGATTTCGAAGGGTGGTATCTCTGTTGTGGAATGAGATGTTGTTCTNTGAAGCCGGAATTGACTGATGAAGATAGTCAGAATTCAAAGAGGGATGTGTTGATCAACAATAATGCGATTCGTAGGCGCATTGAAGCTCGCTTTGATACCGGTTGTATGCTGCATACAACGGATCCTCATAATTCAGTCCGTCTTTCTAGTGGACATCAATTTAACATGGAAGTTGAACAAGCTCCTGCGACTGAAAGTGTAGATGCAACTGTATGCGTTAAAATGGAAGAAGGCGAAGAAATGTACTTGTCTGGTGATTCGATATTCGGAGCTACGATGCTAGATGGTTCGGTTGTCCCGTGGAGTGATGATAACGGTATGAGGAACAGTGATAACCCAGGCTACTCACGCCATATGACAATACACAGTGGGGTAACATACAGCATTGCCTGTTCCAGGGGTCGGACAACTCCACTTTCACCAGTAACTGTGAATGTACTTAAGTCTAGTCCATCTCCGGGCGCTTCCGATCGCCAAGCAGAGACTACTCCCGGGGTTGAACCGAACTCTGGAAGCATTATTGACTCGACCGCTGGTCAAACACCCATAACTGAATTTCCCATGTCAACAGAAGATGAACAGTTTGATACAAGTTTTGATGCCATGATGAATTCAATCGATATAACAACATTCCTTCCTGGCACATTTTCAACTGCCGAGGACCAACTAGTCGTCGATTCAAATCCTCCCAAACTGTCATCACCACCCGGGCTGGATCCGATCGATGAGGAATCTTTCGATTTCCCACAGCTGATTACTTACAGTAACTGCTCTGAGTGCGTTAAGGACGTTTGTGGTATGCCCCACAATCGCACCTCACGTCCCTCGTCCGCATCTTCATCGTCGTTCTCGGCAACCTCGTCCGCCACTCATTCAGTCTATGCCGTTTCGCCACTAACAGATTTGGATGCGCTGGACAAATCAAGCCTGTTCATGATCAAACCGGAGTGGCCCATTGTTGCTTAATATTTACCCTGCTCTCTGTCCTTCACTCCCTACGCCTTCATATTTATCAGGAAACAAGTATACTTGAATGCATGCGTGTTCGCGAGAGTATTGCCTTTGAATTCTGAGGCCTTCAGTTTACAACCCGTGCATTAAGTAATTCGCGGATTTGACACTTATCCTCATATGCAGCTAATAAGAACACGGGCAAGATTTTTATTTGGATAATAATGATAATAATGACAACAATATGAATGGCTGACACAAGTGGTTTGCTCTTTCCCACCACCTCTATTTTTGGACAGTCAGACTTGGTTTTCACTATCGTTCCCGAAATACACTGCCCGAATGCACTCATTTTTCTACCTGGAACGGACTTGAGCGTCATCATCTCCGCTTGACATACTTCGTTTCCCTCTAATTTCGTACGCACCACAGTCCTCCCCGTTTGAGACTACAGAATTATTCCCGGCCTTCCAACTCCTGTGGGTAGTTGTACAGATCATCTCATTTCTCAAAAACCAATTTGCTTCCATTTGGAATTCCAATAACCGTAGTAGTAGTAGCATTATAATCACAGCTCCATTTCATTCCTTGCAACGCTCAGATTTTGAGTGTTTTGCGTTATTTCCTGTTTTCTTTTTCTGGTTGTCCTGATATTTATCCTTACCCGCCCTCACACTTATCTCGTTTAATGACAATGAAGGATCACATACTTTTCTACATTCTTACACAATTTCCACCCGTGCATTCATATACGTATACAATTAAGTTGTTTGTCTCTTTTTTGTATATTTGACTCTTCAAAACTGTACAGACTGGTGACAAGTTCAGGTAGTCGTCAAGCTATTTTTCTGTTATATATCTTTTCCTGCTTCTCGCTGTCCCACACACTCTTAACAACTGTCACGACTCATGTCCGACAGTGACTCTGACAGGAGTACGGCATGTTCTCAGGTTTCCGTTACATGTCACCCTATTTTCTGTTTACCCGTTTTTATATTTTTCAACCATTTTGCAGGGAACGGCGCTTCCGTTAAAACTCAGTCAAAATTTTCGTTCTTTTGGATGGCATTTATCCGGGACTAGACTAACACACAATTACACGCCACGACCAATTATTTTAGGCGATACTGTCTGTTCTAATATAATCGAATTGTTGATTTTTTCCTTTTTAAAACGCATTTTCTCGAGGAGCCTGTGCTCGCTTTTATAGTCATGTGCTTTCCGTGCAGTCATCTTTTTGGTGGGCTTCTGTGCACCTGTGGACACAAACACAAGCAAGAAGCTGCTTCCCCCACCCTCGGGGACGAACACCGTTTCCGCTTTTCTGTTTTTATTTTATCCCAGTCACGGGATTGATTGGTTTTCATTCACTTCTCAATCGTTGCCTCTGTATGGTTTTTTCGTTTGTAATATCAGAGAGCAAGCACAAACGTGAACTGGAAACAACGAACCAACAACGCTTTTTTTTCTCGTACTTTTCGTTTTTGTCCTCGATCGATCAGATAGCCAGACGCAAATGCCAGGGGAACTTCGTTGCTCAGATTAGTATAGTAACGACTAATGATTGCGTTTGCCTAGAACCAAGTGTGTGTGTGTGTGTTTGATTACTCTACGTTCAAGAAACAACTAGTCTTTTAACAAGGTTATATCAAGTGAAGCGCGCAGCGATTTGAATGATTTGTTGATCAGAGAAGTATGTAATTCACGCGCAAACTGTTATCTTAAACGCCTAACTTTATACCTAAATGAAACGTTCATTACTGGTTTCTCTAAACCACTTAGTTTTTTAAGCACTACTACAGTTCGCCCCCAGATCGGATAAACCGTCTTTCTTTTTTGCATGCCTTTATTTCGAAGTTTGCTTGTTTTTCTGTTCCATCCTGAATGTGAGATTCTTATATTTGTTGATTCCTGATTAACTTTCACGAAAGTTTTGTTCGGTCTGTGCTATCGTGCACTGCTTTTTTCCACTTCTTCGGGTTACGCAGTTCGTTATCCAATTGCGCTCACTTTGCTCGCTGATGTCGGAGATCACGTTTCATCGTAGCATTTGTTTCAACGATCTGTTCTATTTCGATCCTTTCAGATGGATAGAAGAAAACTCAGCGGTTCATTTTTGGTCATCCAATAATTCGATAGAAAATGTCACAGATGATAATGACGATGTTTTATTCTGGTGATAATCTCTTATACTTCGCAACCCCAGTCAATTTTTGTGAGGATTCGGGAAGGTTGTTTTACAGAAATTGACCCTGCATACTTGTTTGTCTCCATGTTTGTGCCAGTACCACTGTGTGAAAACCGAGTCGCAATGTTGGCCTCCTTTCCTCGCAGTTCGACCAGTTGCACATTTGTTCCGCTAGTATTTATTTCTCTCCTCATTGTCCATCGATCTATTGCCATCTGGTCATGTCTATTTGTCTGTCTGGTCGGCTGGCCGACTGCCTGATTGACGTGATCAACTTGACTGTTGTGGCTACTGGGCGATACTTTGCGAGTAAGGCATCGAATCCTTTGCGCACATTCCCCCAAATTCCAGTACACTGTGGTTGCAGCCACAACACCACATCTTGATCGATCAATTCCGTGCCCTCCGGTTCCCACTCGAACCGTTTTAGGTCAAAAGGTCAACGTGGGATCACTTGTGTGTCTCAGTCGGCAGCATGTTCTGCACAATCTTTTTACGAATGCCCAGTTCTGTCTTTATCGGAACACTATGTCCCCTTTGTCTATCGCATCAATAGCGAAAAAAGATGTCGCGCAATGTTGAAATGTTGTTTAATTATTGAAATAGACCCACAGAGCCCATTTCAAGCAAAACAAAGTGGCAAACGAACTCATTTTCAAAGATTCGTAATCATGTCAATAGAACTAAACATATAAATCACTACTTCGGAATGGAATTGTCTTGGAAAAATAAAACGAAGTCACATCATATTATCAGAGGTGATGAAATCGTTTTCAGTAATATTGTAGCAAGAAGGCGGTCTGGTTGGAAGAACGTCTATTAATCCGATTCAAAAGAAAACAGTGTGTGCGTTCGATTATATACAGTCAATTCTCAACCGCGCGGCGGGATGATTCATGCCTCTTTCTGTGGGTCATTCCTTGTTGGTTTTGGTCCGCACTTGGCACGTACGTTGCCTCTTCTTCCACGTGCCATTCCAACTGGTTTGACCCGATCGCGGCGCGAGATGCGTTGATCGACAGCTCCGACGTTGTATAATTCGGTGGATATCTTTCCCGTTAGCTGCGGATTGTCTGTCGGGCTGTAATTGTTGATTCGCTCGTTTCGGGTGGCAGTCAACATTGTCTCGCGAGGCACTTCCCGCCGCTGTGTCTGCGGGTCTGGTCGGATGAGCCCCATTCTTGATTCGGTCGCTAGCCCGGACTCTCTTTCTACTGCCTTCCATCGCACTATCCCCTCCTCTCAAATGATTGCCGCGAGTGTACCACTGCTCTAATTCCTTACCATTTATCCATCTTCCTTCCTGATTGATTCGAAAACTGTCGTTCTTCCTCTCCAGAATGATGAATGGCCACATCCACCGCTGCTTGAACTTTTCGGCCCCGGTCCTGTTGTTTCGGGTCTGCCTTGGTTCTTAACTTTTACCAGCTGTCCCGATACGTACGGCTGCCACTTTTGTGATCGGTGTTCTTTGTCGTACCTTGTCTTGTTGCGTTGGGTTTGCCTGGTTTTCTTAACCGCTTCTCTCTCTAGCTTGTCTCGCTCCTTCATGGAAAGCTGTTCGCCGGATCTTCCGAGTAACGCATCAAGGGGCGTTCTGGGTTCTCTACCATTAATGAAGGGTGGTATCTCTGTTGTCGAATGAGATGTTGTTCCGTAGTTGAAACGGATTTCCGGTAAGCTTCTTTCTCAATCACCGCGATGGTTATTGAGCCATTCCTTCATTGTTCTTTTGAACCTTTCAGTCATTCCGTTGGCCTGCGGATGATAGGGGGACGAGCGAATCGACAATTACAGTATGTGATGTGACGTGATGAGATATTATTTTCCCAAAACGTTTATTCCGAAGTAATGATATATCCGCTGAGATGTATCGGTATTTCGTCTAATCGTCTCATTCGCTGACGCAAACCAAACAAGTGTATTAACAGCACACTGAATTTGTAAATACTAGTGAGCGGACATGTTAAAAAGAAAGGAGCTATTAGATTTCAAATTTTAATTATGGGTAATTTACAAAGCTGATGCCTATTGAATCCCATAGGGTCTGTACACAATGGGTTCGGTTGGTAGAACAGCCGAATAGCAAATTCTTGCGTTCACTCAAGGGTAATGAGAAGTTAGGTGGTTCATTGCTTCATCCAGTCGTGACTTGAATGAATCGATGGTTGGTGCACAGACAACTTGAGGTGGAGTAGAGTTCCAGATGTTATAAACTCAGGTTGAAAGAATGACGCCTGCAGTCCACCCGGCTCTTTTGAAGTAAACGGATGTCCTCGGAGGTGACCATTCCTGGATAACGTCGCTAGGGTACTACACGGATGGTTAGGTTGATGTAGTATTTGATAAATAAGGATCATGTTTCCCCGTATTCGACGGTATTCAGACGAATAGAGTCCGAGAATTCGCAGTCTTTCACCGTAGGTCTTAGATTGTAACCCTTGGACCATTTTGGTTTCTGTTCTCTGCGGACGTTCAAGTGGCTTTCGGTCACGAATCAGCCATAGATTCTAAGCCTGTATAGCACACTCGGTGTGTGGTCTAATGTATGCTGGTAATAAACGGGGCAATAGGTCTGTTTGGAATGATCCAAAAACACGTTTTATCAATCCAAGTTGTTTTGTAGCCTTTGAAGACGCTCTTGCGCAATGTGTGGAACATCCTAGATCCTCATGAACGGTAACTCCCGGGTGCTTTTTGTTTGGAGAACGCGGCAATGGCTGAGTTCCAAGTAAGTATGGAAAGCGAACCCTGTGGCGCAAGACCGAGGTGACCAGTTCCGGGGTACTGAGGGTTACTTCCATAATCTCAAATGGGAATTCGTCGT